CTTTCTTGTGCTTTTTTACCTTTCCTTTTGGATAAAAGAAAAGTCGGTGGCGACTCTTGCTAAACCGCAACATTTGCGAACATAAAATGCAAAACTCAAGTCTGTTCTCCAACCGCATCACAACGTCCATCTGACATATGTGCCATCTGTTTATTTCCGCTAGACCAACAACCAACCTGGTTGTTTCGATCCTAGCAACAGGTGCAAAAACTTCATCAAAGTCTATTCCTTCTTTCTGTAGAAATCCTTTCGTCACAAGCCTTGCTTTGTGTCGAGTTACTTTCCCTTTGGGATTCATCTTTACTTTGTATACCCACTTGACATCAATTGCCTTCTTTCCTTGAGGCAATTTGACAACTGACCAAGTGTTATTGTCTTCTATGGACTTCACTTCTTTGTTCATTACTTTCACCCACTTCGAATCCTTCAATGTTTCAGCTGCATTGACAGGTTCGACATCTGCATAGAAATCATAATGTACGAACTCACCTTCATTATCTATCACATCATCTGATGTAATCACACAATCTTGCAATCTTGCAGGCATACGTCTTGTTCTTTGAGGTCTTCTTGTAATTGGTTGATCTATAACTGCTGGTTCCTCTTGTCTAACTTCTCTTTCGACTTGAGGTTTTTGTTCTTCAAGTAGGATTCCAACTGAATCTTTCTTGACATTTTCAGTCCAATCCCATTCTTTAAGCTCATCTATGATTACGTCCCTGCTGATCACAATCTGCTTGTTCACTGGGTCAAACAACTTGTAACCTCCTGTCGAATGATATCCAACTAGAATCATTTGACTTGACTTGTCATTAATTTTTCTTCTCCACTGATCTGGAACATGTCTATGTGCAATAGATCCAAATACCTTCAGATAACTCAATCTAGGCTTCACACCAGACTAACATTCTTCTGGAGTAATTCCTTCTAGCTTCTTTGTAGGACATCTGTACAAAATGTATGTTGCAGTCGGCACAGCTTCACCCTAAAACTCTTTAGGTAAATTCTTGCCTTTCAACATGCTTCTCACCATATTCATGATGGTTCGATTCTTCCTTTCTACAGTTCCATTATGCTGTGGAGTATAGGGTGGCACCACCTCATGCATAATCCCTTCCTTTTCACATAACCTGTCGAAGTCTTTCGACACATACTCTCAACCATCATCAGTTCTCAAAACATTGAGTTTTCGACCACTTTGTCTTTCGACCATAGACTTAAACTTGGCAAATACCTCGTTCACTTCACTTTTCTTCTTGATCAGGTAAGTCCACAACTTTAGACTAAAATAATCTATGAATGTAATAAAGTATTTATTACCTCCCATCAAATCCACCTAGATTGATCCACATACATCAGAGTATATGACTTCAAGAATAACCTTCGACCTACTTCTTGCATCCTTGCTGAAGCTATTCTTGTGCTGCTTCTCCTGAACACATTCCTCACATACCTCGTTTGGAATGTCGAATTTTGGAAATCCTGAAACCATATTTCTTCTCTTCAAATCGCTGATGTCTCTGAAGTTGAGATGACCTAGTCGATAATTCCATATCCATTCAACTCTGCTAGCTGCATTCGAGAGGCACTTGTGCTCCATCACATTTAGTTCGATCTTGAAGGTTCTATTCTAAGACATAAGAGCCTTCAAGATTAATCTTCCATTTGCATCGACGACTCTCATCATCTTATCTTTGATCGACACTTTATAATTATTTTCGACCAACTGCCCTATACTGAGAAAATTGCTCTTCATGCCTGGTATGTACAACACATTGGAAATTACTGACCTCTTTCCATCTTTCCTCATAATCATAACATCACCAAATCCTTCAGCTGCTAGGGTATTGTCATTTGCGAATTTTACCATATTTTTCATTGAGGGATTTATGTTGACAAACTAGTATTTCCTTCCAGACATATGTGATGAGCATTCTGAATCCAAGTACCATTGGTCTTTGAATCTATCTTCATCTCTTGTTGTGACCATCATCATCATCATCATCCATTCTTCTTCTTGTTTTGCAAACTTTTCATCACTTTCTTGATTCTTTCGCTTTTCTAGAAAATCACTCGAGTAGTGACCATACTTCTGACAATTGTAACATTGAATGTGACTCTTGTCAGGTTTTCGACCACCGCCTCTTCCTCTATTTGTAACACCACCTCTTTGGTTATCTTGGTATGGTCTTCTCTGATTTGACACGTTTCCTTCGTTCTGGTTTCCTCTACCAGTCGATTTGTTGTAGACGCCTCTACCTCTACCGAACCAATTTCCTTTGCCTTTGGTTTCTTTTGCTAAATGTTCCTGCAAAGCCACATCACTCTTCGACTTGCCTGCAGCTCTTTCAATCATTCTTTGTTCATGAGATTCAAGCGTTTCTTGAAGCTCTTCCTTTGTCAATTTCGACAAGTCTTTCCCCTATTCTATAGCTACCACCACGTGGTCGAACTTAGGAGCCAAAAATCTCAACATCTTCGAAACAACAACTCTTGTTATTAATGTTTATCCACATACCTTGATTTGATTCACTAGTTTTGTAACCCTAATGAAGAAATTAGATATGCTCTCACTATCTTCCATCTGAAGCAATTCATATATTCTCTTGTGAGTTAGTAACCTCACTTCTTTCACCTTTTCTGCACCACCAAAAGACTTCTCAAGAACCTCCCAAGCTTCTTTTGCAGATTCTGAATCACTCATTTTTTCAAAATTTTCTGGACTCAAACATTGAAGAATTATAAAGAGTGCTTTATAACTCAGCTTCTCAGATTCTGTGTGTTTCTTCTTTTCTTCTAAAGCATTTTCTCTAAGCGCTTCTAATCCATCATTTACAAGATCCCAAAGACCTTGACACCTGAATAAAACTTTCATCTATTTGCACTAATTCTCATAGTTTTCTACTTTCATAATTGGCAGAGTTGCTGTATAATTTGCATTCCCATAACTCGCCATCGTGAATTCTTCAATCGTTCTTGATCGATATTTCCTTTGAATCGATTAATCGAGCTCTTACACCAGATGTTGTAAATCCACCAAATATCTATGATGAATTTCTACCAATCTTGATGAACAAGATTGATATCACCACACAATGACAAATAATTATGAGAAAAGAAAATAAAAGAAAGAAGACAATTATTTTCTACAGAGTTTCTCTCTGCCCACAAACTGTGGAAAACTTTGTTATTCACTTACAACTGCAAATTCTGTGAATACAACTTAATTGACTTAATTATAAAATTAGGGGTTACTCCTTCTATTTATAGATTTAGGTTAGCTTGCTCCTAAGCCAAAGCCCAAAACTATAAAAGTCCAAAATAACTATTTTGGTACTAAATCAAATCAAATTTGTGTGTAGTTTGCTTCGATCCACAAGCTCTTCGACTAGGCAATCTCCTTTCGACACACACACTGTTTCGACACAATCGAATTACAATTTAACAAATGTAGTTAAAGAGTTCAATAGAATTCAAATCAAGATTCATTGGGTGAGTTAGAAGACCGTTAATTTACCTTTTGAGAAATGGGGTTTGGATATTAAGAGTATGACGGAGTTCAATTTAGCTCTTCTAAATAAATGGAGATGAAGAATTATTCAAGGTCAAAACAATTTATGATTTAAAATGTTGAAAGCTCGATATGGTGATTTGTCGATAAAAACCTTGTGTAGATATGCTTCCAAAGTTACATCTTCCTCTAGTTCTACTTGGTGGAGGGATATTATTAAGATTAAATAACTTTCTTTTGAAGATCCTATCATCTCTAATAGTAGATTTCTTATTGGTAATGGTTTTAAAACTCCTTTTTGGGAAGCTAAATGGTTGGAAGACAAAACTTTGAAGGAGCTTTTTCTGGATTTATATTTGGCTTCTTGTTTGGAGGAAGTGGCGGTGCCGGGAATGGGGTGGTTGGATTGAAGAGGGGTGGATTTGGAGAGACTTGGGTCTATTAGCCGCTACGGCCAATAATCCTCATATCTTGGTCGAATATAACTTATTGAAAGAGAAGTTGGAGGAGTTCGGAGGATCCGGATTTGGTTGTGTGGAGTCTTAATTCAGAGGAAGGTTTTTCGGTGTCTTCTTGCTATGGTTTTTTTTTGCTAGTTTCCTGGTTCCGTTTGGTCCTTCCAATAGGAATGATGTTGCTTTAAGATTTATTTGAAAGATGGAGGTGCCTTTTAAAATTAAGGCTTTTTATTGAAGACTTTTTGTTGATACGTTCCCAACAAAGGATGTCTTGGTGTATAGAGGTATTTTTTTACCTATTGATTCTCGAAAGTGTTCTTTTTGTGATATAGACATGGAAAATAGAGATAATTCTTTTCTTTTGTGTGAAGTGATTAAGAGAATATGGAAGGAGATAGCTTTTTGGGTGGGAAAGACCAATGAAGAGGAGGAAGATTGTCTTTCAAATTTCATGAGTTGGTACTCCTTTTGTAGGGATAAAAAGGTTAGGGAAGACAAATTGGAGGTGGTTTGGCTCGCAACGACATGGAGTATATGGTTGCTTCGTAATGAAATTTGTTTCCGAAACAATAGTTGGAATGTGAATAATATGGTATGGAGTATCAAAACGATGATTTGAAAGTGGTCTTTTTGTGAAGAAATTACGCATTCCAATTGCAACTTTTACGAGTTTAACAAAGATTGGTTACTATTTTTATTGAAAATGTAATTGATTTGTACTTTTCCCTTTTAACGGTTTTTTTCCGCTTCTTTATATAAAAGGTTGGGAAATCCTTAATTTTTTCTTTCATAATATCCTACTTACAAAAAAACCAAAGAGAAAAGACACTATAGACCAAAATACAAATACAAAGAAACCCAAAAGAAGCTCAACTACCATATAGAAAAAAAGGATATTATCATCAACGTTATATGAAACATACACAAAGCACGTAGCACACAACAACATGGCATTAATTTACTTACTTAGATATCACTTATTTATTTCTAAATGCCAATCACCACATTTAAAATAAAGTAACACCCATTCATTAGATTGAACTAACTAAATCCTCATCTAACGATTCTGTGGATGTCACAGTTGCAAGATCCAATTCAGAAGACTCCTTGTTAATAAAATTGCATTGTTTTCTAATTTCACCTTTCTTTCCGGTAAGCACGCCAATATTTCCCATTTTAATCATTGACTTCGCAAAATTCTGAAAGAAAGCATTTTGGTTATTGGCAAAATTGTTGACAATGCCAATAGTATCTGCACCTGGTGTTGAGAACAATTCTTGATCACTTTGAAGCAAACCCTTTTTAACTTGAAGATTGTTGTAGTAGTTTTTGTCCAATATATCAGGAGTAGTTGGATCAAAATTGACACGGTTAGTTCCAGGTCCATCCTTAGGACACTCTTTCTGCAATTCTTTTAAGTATGTTGGATCAAGAGTGGGATCCGGTTTGCCAGTCTTACTGAAGTTGTATAATCGATCAACAAATGATGAGCAACGCGCTCTTCCAAATGTATGAGCACCTGCAATTGAAGCATATAAGAAAATCATATACTATATTGTCACTAAATGGTTGCATGTATATATTTTATACCTGAGAGTGCTACTAGATCATTGGTGTTGAGGCCTTGGACAGCAAAAGAAGATTTAAGTTGACTTAGATTAAAGGAAGAAGATGGAAGACTTTGATTAGCAAGACTTTGATTTGCGTTTAGACTATCCCTTCTCCCCAATGGAACAATCCAACATGGACCTCGAGTCTGAGATCATATAGATTTGATTTATTTAAAGATTATACAGAAATAGATGCAAATGGATAACAGGCTTCGCCGCTACCATATTTACCAGAATAGATGATACTCCAGCTGCAAGTGCAAGAATATCAGCACAAGAAACTGTATTAGGGCAAGCCTTTTCCACTGCAGTTTTGATTCGATTAACAACATCGAAACCTCTTAATGAGTTGATATTAGGAAAAGCTCCTTGTTCGCTCACGATGGTAGCAGTGTTGTTCAGTAAAACTGATGCATCACAACCCTATATATATTATCAACATTTACATAAGACCTTAGAGACATTTATGCTTGGATAATATTGAGTTCGAGAAAACGTTTCGATATAGATACTTACTTGAACAAAACAATCATGAAAATGAAGCCTTATGAGGCTCGCAGGCATGCGAGGATCCGTCTTAGAAACATTCCATAAAATTTGATATACAATAAAAGGCAATTGAGGACAAGTTTTACTGTAAAACAATGGATCAAGCTGGGGTTCTGAGGAGAATGGTACTGGTAGTCCTCTTAACAAAACCGCAACAAAGCAAAGAGCTATTGCTATGAGAAGACAAAAGTTCATTTTCATATCTGATAGATATTAGAGCTATAGCTTATTGAAGTTGTGCTTAACTATGCATAATATGAATCCCTATTTATAGGGCCATAACATGACTATGTGTATGTGAAATGGCTTGTTGGTTGCCATGAATGTTACTAGTAATTGTTAAGAATCAAAGACACACTTGTAGGTTAGTGATCGTATTTCAAAAGATTAACAATTAATTAAGTCTTTGAAAAATAACACTTGTCAAAGTCTTCGATAAACTAATTAAATCATAATCTTGTTCAAAGTATTTCTACCAATTTAGGGTGATGTTACTAGTTAGTAATATACAATTGAAAAAGAGGGATATAGATTTAATGTAGAAAAAGATAAAACATTGAATAAAATGAAAGTCGAGACCACATCGTTTGCATCTTCACGTTTTAAATGTAGTTTCTTTCCTCCTCTATTTCTACTTGCTATTGAAAACAATTAAATTTCGAGAAAATTATTAAATTTACTATTCTTTTTTAGAAAATACAAAAATGGTAAACTTATTCCAAATTTACTGGATCATTGTTTGAAAATAATAAGCTATTCAAATATCCAAGATGATTAGAAAATCACATCATCTCTCATAATTCAGTTACATACTCTATTTTGTCAAAATATGATACAGAGATGCATCTCTATAAAATTTTAAGAGTGGATCCAAAGATACATTTTTGTAAAACCTCTTGAACTTATTTTAAGTTATTGAAAACATGTTTATTGCATATAACAGGGAATATTTTGACCTGCATATCCGAAAACTCCTCTGAAATATTGTTTAGGAAGTAACATTTTTCTAACTTAGTCATTTTTCGAGACCAACTTTTATTATAGATCATTTTGTACCATAAATTAAAAATCATATACATTAATTAATTCAGACATGCTACTCGTACATTAAAAAAGTCATATATTAATTAAAGTAAATTCAAAATGTATCGGTCATACATAACTTGTTCTGAAAATACAAAAAATAGTACAACCAAACATAAACTACTTTGTGTGTCTAACCCCTCGACTTCTCCGCCTATACCACAAGGCATTTAGTGCCACGACAATAATGCCTTTTACGAGAGCCAACTTGGGACTGTGTATGTCCTATTGTGGTCATCCCTAGCCTGTAGTACATCTTGATTAGATGGTCTAGGTGGTCTTCCAAGAGCGTCTGATGTCATGATATGATGTGACACCCTATAGAACCATGTGAAGTAGTCGCCCGCATAAGCTCATTGTATAAGAACTCACACCCTATGATAGTCCTCTGGTACCAAATAACTCTCAAGATCCTCAAGTATGTCATCAAGATCTTTGTTGCAAATAATGGGAGGAGCAGACTATGAGGAGAGGTATCTCGAAATAACTTGCAAATAACCAAATTAGTGCATCACTCGCTTGGACATATACACATACATCAGACCTCATCCACAAGCAAGCCATCAAAAGTATCACGAAATGACGTCCAGTTGACGACACAAGTTGCACTTTTGTCCATAAACATGGACGTGCCAACAAAGAATATGAGGTGAAAGCTCAATGCACACGACCACTGATACTCAACTTGTATATCATCACCTTCGGCATACACAACCATCTGCAGCTGGTCTTTATAAAGTTCTTCCAGGAATTTAAATCTTGAATGAGTACCTCTAGTGTCAACTACATCATTTACGACCTAAGTTGGATCATCCCCCAAATAGGTAACCATCCTCTCGTTGGCTTCCTCTTAATTGAGCCTTCTGTGGTCCAGTAACTTTCCTATAATGGGAAGATGTAGGAGGCATGAGACCTCATCTAGGGTGATTGTCATCTCGCCAAGAGAAAGGTGAAAAGATGACATCTTTGAATGCCATCTCTCTACATATGATGCATGCATGCCATGGTTTATGCTCTTGTATGCAGCATCACATAAACCAACAAGCCTAGAGTACCAAATAACACCCTTGAACCTGTCATCTTCCGGTTGTTCTGAATCCAAAATCTTCCTTCAGTGGTTTACATATTTTGAACATGAACGTTCATATAAAAAACATATATATCACCATCAATCGCGATTAAATTACATTAAAACAGATGTAATGTAAAACTAAATAAATATACCTCTTCTTCTCAAATACGCCTAGTAGCATGGTCTCCATATATATACAATAAGGAGGTGTAAAATAGGCCTTATGGATAACTATCTACAAGGGCATCTGCATCAGTAGTGGGTTCTTTCTGATTGGTCTCATAGGCTTCAAGGGCTTCTTTGGGAGCTTTAAAGGCTTCATAAGCAGGGGACGCATGTACCTGTGAAGAAGATGTCTGAGACATGCGACTTCGGAAAGTATAACCCAATTGTTGTGAACCTCGACCTTGTTAATCATCAAACGATGTGGCATCGACCGGTGGCCTTGCAGCCCCTCCCCTGGCCCTATCATGTTGTACACATGCGTGTTGGGACACATGGCCAAGCCTAATTTTGTCTGGGTTGTTTTTAGTCATTGCACATGTAATTAACCTGAAATCACATAAAAATATAGTCAAAATGCAGTCGGCCATATCCGGAGATACATCTCCAAAAAACATTTCAGAGATAATCCGGAGATGCATCTCTGGATGAACTTGTGACTTGCAGAAATGGAAGAAACCTCGTTAGTACCCTAAACTCTAACCAAATGATAATTCATATATATATATATATATATATATATATATATATATATATATATATATATATATATATATATATATATATATATATATATATATATATATATATATATATATATATATATATATATATATATATATATATATATATATATATATATATATATATATATATATATTATCTACCTATTTTAAATGTACTACTATCTAATGCATCTTAAATAACCTATGTTACCCAAAACATCATTCAAAACTAAAAAAGAATTGAAATGAATGAGAAACTTACCAAATTAGAGTTGTTGATTAGAAGCATGAATAAAGTGAATGACTTTGCAACAAATGAAGTAGAATGGAGTGAGTGAACTTGAAGAAACTTGCTTAAATGAGGTTTGGAATTGAATTTGCAGCAAAATAGCTCAAATGAGGTTTTTTGTGACTTTTCATAAAATGAAGAAGGAATAGGGAAGGGTCTGGTGTCGGCGTATCAAATAAATGCGTCCGAAGATGCATCTTTATAAAACTCCCTGAATTTTGAATTAAGGATTTTCACATAGATGGATTTCCGAACTCGCCCTTATGTTGATATGAAGATACATCTTCAGATTAACTTTTGACAAATGAGAGTGGCTCATTTGTGTTGATGAGTGTGAAAAAATGTGCGTCCAGAACACCATGGTGAAGAAGCACCCCTAAGGGTGTCAAAGTAATCCCCTAAATATAATAAATTAACATCGACTTTGTATCACATAGACCGACTCTAATAAATTTATTCATTTAATTTTAATTTTTAAAATAACTTTAATCTTACCTTCTGCTTTAGCAACCGCTAAAAAGAAGCTAAAAAATAAAATAAAAATAAAATCATTTAGCCTCCCAAATGGCAAACTCAATGTTTTCAAAAAAAAATTATATTTATTTATTAAAATTGTAGATACGACTTTAACCGACGCTAAACCGTGTATAGCACGAAATATTTTGTGAACCCCCAAATAACTTTTCTTCCACTCTTTTTTTAATATTATTAAATAACAAATAAAAAATAATAAAATAAAAATGAAAAACCCTTTGGTCCTCTCTCTCACTAGAAACCCTTCTCTCTTAAATTTTAAACCCTTCATTTATCTCTCTCACCATAGATACCTTAATAGAAAATCTTCGTTCATCTCTAATTGACTTATCAAAACTTTCGTTCATCAATCAGAGATGCTTGAGATAACTATCTGACATTGATTGAATTCACCTACAACAATAATTTCTATTTGAGTATTGAAATGACACCATTTGAGACGTTGTATGATATAAGATGTAGAACTCTTTTATATTGGTATGAATCAGGTGAGAGTGTTGTGCTTGGACCTGATATTGTTCAGTAGACCTCTAAGAAGATCAAGATGATCCAAGAGAAGATGAAAGCTTCATAGAGGCTTCAGAAGAGCTACCATGTTAAGATGAGGAAATCGCTTGAGTTTCAAGAGGGAGATCATGTGTTTTTGCGAGTTACTCTAGTAATTGGTGTTTGTCGAACTTTGAAGTCTCTAAAGCTCGTGCCGCGTTTCATTGGTCCATATCAGATTATGAAGAGAGTAGGAGATGTGGCCTACAGAGTTTCCTTATCGTCGTTCCTTTCAAATATTCATGATGTCTTCCATGTGTCCAATTGAGGAAGTGCAATCCTGATCCGTCTCATGTGATCCAAGTGGATGATGTACAAGTGAGAGATAACCTGACTATTGAGGCATCACCCATGAAGATAGAAGATCGAGAAGTGAAGCAGTTGTGTCGTAAGAAAATTTCCTTGGTGAAGGTAGTTTGGGGAGGACCAGCTAGTAGAAAATTCACTTGGGAGCTTGAGAGTCAGATGAGGGAGTCATATCTGACTCTGTTTGCTTAAGGTTATTTTTGAAGACGTAAATTCTTCAAGTGGAGGAGAGTTGGAACACTCCAATTTTGATTAAATTATTTTAATTGATTTATTTGTAACTTTTTTATGGTTTATTTAATAATTGGGTAGCATTTATTAAATAAATGAGAATTTGAGAAGTGTGTGTTTTAGAGGTAGAGGTGTAAAGAGTAAGTTGAAAGTGGCTGAGTTGATTAGAATTATTTAGAATTCATTTAGAACTTTAATTAATTAAAATAATAGTAATTGTGGTTGGTTTATTTAATTAAAATATATGAAGAGTTTGTCCATATTTGAGAATTAAGAGAAATAAATGGAGGAATGAGTAAAATAGAATGAGGGGAGATTTAGAATTTTAAGAGATTAAATAACCTGCACATCTCGAAAATATTAGTCTCGACCGGGTTATGAAGTCGTCTATAAAAAGAGCAAGACT